GGTAGTAATGTAACATAATATCAGTAACAAGGAGTGTGATAGTAATGTAACATAATATCAGTAACACGGAGTGTAGTGGTGATGTAACATAATATCAGTAACAAGGAGGGTGGTAGTAATGTAACATGATATCAGTAACACGGAGTGTGGTAGTGATGTAACATAATATCAGTAACAAGGAATGTGGTAGTGATGTAACATAATATCAGTAACAAGGAGTGTGGTAGTAATGTAACATAATATCAGTAACACGGAGTGTGGTAGTGATGTAACATAATATCAGTAACAAGGAGTGTGGTAGTGATGTAACATAATATCAGTAACAAGGAGTGTGGTAGTGATGTAACATAATATCAGTAACACGGAGTGTAGTGGTGATGTAACATAATATCAGTAACAAGGAGTGTGATAGTAATGTAACATAATATCAGTAACAAGGAGTGTGGTAGTAATGTAACATAATATCAGTAACACGGAGTGTGGTAGTAATGTAACATAATATCAGTAACACAGAGTGTGGTAGTAATGTAACATAATATCAGTAACAAGGAGTGGGATAGTGATGTAATAAATTAAATATAACTGGGCGTGTGACCATAACAAATAATCATGATCTTGGAGTGTGATAATAACGTCACAAATGAACCGGATCATTTTTTTATGAATGAATGAATTAATAAAGAAAGAAATACAAAAAGATGGAAAGAAAGGAGGAAAACAGCGTAGTATCTATGTAAAGAGGATGGGAATAAAAGAAAATATCTTTGACAATATAAATGTCCAGATGTCTATGTATGTGGTATTTGATATGCATTAAACCTTTGAATTGTTCAACATTATAACTTTTTCCCTTCCTCTCTTTAGCGCATTACAATTTATAAAATGAATATAGGTTCAATATTCCAGATATCTAAACACATTAATAGAAAACGACCTACCTTTTTTAGTCGATGATACGCCATCGTCTAGGGACAGGTGGTTTGAGGTTTAAACTGCAATGCTCGGATCAACCAATGCACAGTATACCACCCTTCTATGCAATAAAGGCATTCTAGCTGGTAAATCGCACGATTTGGTGACTGGATACGTTTGTGGGCGGCGAAATAAACTCTCAATCAACTGACATTTCGAGAACAGAATCGGTATGAATGCCAGGTAGAGTACATTTTAAAGGACGGATATTAATGACCACAAATGTCACAAAAGTCATTACATCATTGCTAGAGTATAACGTTCAAAGGGTCTTAAAGACAAGCGACAATACATAAAAACTGTGCTTTCACATGTCTTTTAAATAACTGTATTTTCATCTGCTCCTGACTAATGTTAGCTTGACTCTTTTCAAAAGTATGTGAGTGTTCTTAGCGCTGTCAAAGACGAAAATGATATCGTCTCAAATTTGAACAAAAACCCAATACTGTATGTCACCAAAGAACGGTAAGAATTATACTAATTTTTCATGGTATCATTGAACTAACCGCAGTCATTTAACAATATCTCGATATTTAAGTATTTTACCGGGAGTAACAAGAATGCTGACAGAGTATTTACATACCCCATATAATCTTTATCAATTCACATTAGCATTATCCACATTACCATTATTCTCTAGTGATAAGATATGAATACGTCATTTTGTGCGCTTCGCATTATCTGACGTCGTCCGCCCTATGTTGTTCTCACGCTCTATGAAAATATCGACAAACATTCTTCAATGAGAGAAACACTTTTCTGCAGACAAAAATATCGAAAAGTATCAGGATGATAGGACCTGTTGTATCGGAAACATTATTACTTCATTTATTAGGTTGGAATGTCTAAGGTAAACAGCGTATACCTTTCAGTCACGTTTATTGAACACAGCTAATATATGCACCGTAAAGACTGCCTGATGACCTACCTTACCTGCAGATATGTATCTATTACACATTCGCGTCGTCCTTTCATTGATTTAGAACAGAAATTAACATATTCTCATGTCGGTAATTTATCGTTCCGTTATGGAATTTTATACGAAATAAAACCACGCCCAAATAGAATGAGATGAACACTGACGGAAAGACATCGTTAGAAATAGTTTACCACACCTTTGCACGGGCAAATTAATTGAAGTGCCAGCCATTTGTATTGATGCTGAAGTGTGTACATAGACTACACCAGATTCCTTAAGAGAACATATGAACTTTGATTTCAGCATTAGATATTATAACCCTTAAAGTCGCTGCAAAAATGTTGAAAACCAAAACAAATTTTATCTTGTTTGATTTTTTGTGGAATATACAAGTTCCTGTTAAGGTTATAGAGAAAAATCTGTATTAACTTATGTTAGCTAATAGTGGTCAGCAGCTTACATACTAATAATATAGAAGACGTTGTTTTATATGATTAATCTATAAGTGGATTTATACTTTACGAGTTGAAAAGAATAGATCACTAACGTTTAGTGTGGAGCGTGACCTTTATAAAATATTAATACCTTCTGTTGAAATATGACCTCCAGAAAATACTGAATTCCTTCCTTCATAGCGTATGGTCTCAATGATAAATTTACATGTACATATGTAGATTCCCGTTGTTGAGTTACCTTAATAATATAATAGATCCCTCACGTAGAGTATGACCTCTATAACAAATATAGAATCCTAACTGTGGAATGTGACCACTATAACACCATGTACATCTCTCCTGTTTCAGATGTGATCCTGAAAGTAAGTATAACTCTCCCGTTAACGAATGTGACCTTCCTTACAGAAATACGTGTATTTTTGATATTGCAAAATATATAAATACATCCCTTCCATCATATGATGAGACCCTTTGACAGCCTAATTCCAAAACTCCAGCTTGTCTTGAATTTCTTTCTGGACCAACTTTCTTTTCAGAAAAGATCGTGTTCATACAAATTCACCCCGACCTCACCATTCCTACAATGTCCATATGATTCAATATGCATTTAGCAGCCTTTGTTACCTTGCTGGCCGATTACTTTCTGCCTTTTGTGACCTGTGCTCCTGCCATTGATGTAAGTGGTTGTTGTAGTTTTACTGATCGGCTGTGGAAACCATATGAGGTCATGTTGGATAGTCTCTCAAAACACCTCCTGATTAGTCTGTTAGTGATTATATTAGTGAGAAAACTTTGCAAGTCGGAAAATTTCGGGTCCTTTTTAACTTGTTGATTATTGGTCGTAATATCTTAGGAAATGTAAAGACAAAGTATCCCCTGACGACAAGTTATACGGACACTGTAAAGCAACAACTACATGTGATATTATGAACAAATACACGAGCCAATTCGTAATTTTTTTTCTATTCCAAACAAATTGGTAATATATATGTCGACATGTTCAGAAACAACTCCACAAGTCTTGAAATATTTAATCGGCTTTAGGAGAAACAGCTCCACAAGCAGACTTGAAACGAAACTACTTTTATTAATGATTATAACATATGGTGTACTTTTTACAATACCATAACAAGTTCTTCAGTATAAAACAGATAATATATGATACAATATGTTAACAATATTTTTTGGTTTATTTCGAGTTTGTTGGCGTAAAGTCGAATTTGATAAACGTGAAGAATAGCCAGAACTTGTCTGTACAATTAAAACAATATATTTACACGGTTTTTGAAATCTAAGATGTAAAAGCCAGAATTTATCTTGATATATGCTGACTTAATTCATAACTGGACAACTCGAAATTTATTGCATCATGCTTCAGTTGAGGAGTGTGACATATAGATGTACATGTATATAACAAATTGATATCATTGTATAGTGTGACCTCAAAGACAAACATATTACTCCGGTTCTGTAGTCTGACCTCTAGAGGAAATAAATTCTTTGCGCTGTTAACTTCCATAACAAAAAAAATTAAAAAATTGATAAGCGTAGATGTATGGTTTTTTTTAGTATTATGATTATATCTATTTATATTTACATTTGCTCTGCCAACCACTACATGAAAATTTCGAGACAAATGGCTTCTATAAGGCCATGACAGTTAAGAAAGTCACATAATACCATACACGCGTGGTGATTTCTTTTTTAAGAGAATCCCCCATCTGTCACATGTCTTTCGCATAACAAATAATGAAAAAAATAAGAGTGCTTTTAAAGATGCAGAAATATATATATGTGTGTGTGTGAATTCACAGAAACAGTTTATTTATGTGTTTAATGCATATCGACAACAAAATTTTACCAATTTTGCCGTCCGCCTTGACCATGATCATGACGGACACCGCGTAGATAAGCTCTTAGCGAGGATGAAATGTCCAGAAATTGATAAACTGCTGGAAAGTTTACACTGGATTAAAGACAAATAACATGTATTATGGATATAGCTTTTACTTAGGAGCATAGTTGACACACTCACATCTTAAACGGTTCCAGCAGTTTAGCGAAGCCATATCACTGTACCGTCAACAGTGGTATTGAACAACGAGAATGATGTTGATGATCGGGGTTAATTTCACGCTCTTGTGTATATGCTTATCTTCAAGTTTTGCGAAAGTATAAAATATTCAATATTAACAAAGTGGTCTCGAGATTAATCCCACAGCAAAGTGTTTTTAAATGATTTTCCCAATGATAAGAATTATTACGGTGCAATAAACATCACACTATTTTTTTAAAATAAAGCTAAAAATAAGATAGTTCATCGTAAAAATATGGATACATGGACTGAATATCAGTCTTTTAAATAAACTGTCATTGCGCTATGAAAGGTAAGCGGTTGCTTCTATATTTTGCACGAAGCCCTTACGGGCGTCAAGTCATATGGAATGTAATCATTGAACATGAAATTTAAAATACTTACTTTCAATATAGATATATACATGAATAATCACTTTTATTTGATAGTCAATAATGTAACTTGTTCCTAGAATCCCAACCTGACTGAAAAATATAGTTTGATATGTAACTCTACATATCTAAACTAACTTTATTTTTCAGTAACTGCTTCGTGTATGAGTTAGGAAAAGTCAGGAAACTTTACGGGAAATCACTTTAATAAATTACAAAAGCTTGAAGCTTTAAGATGTTTACCGATATTGGTAATTTGTCCGTAATTGCAGAATTCAACAGAAATGTCACACATATAATAATAACATATAATCGACATATGGATTACTTTTCAAGAAAACTTGGACGTAATAAGAACTATAAATAATTGTCAGCCGCTTTATTTCAAGTTGTATCATTCTATGTTACCTGCTTAATTGTTATTGCCATCTCGTCATTTCCGAATTCATTTGAAGTTTTGCAAACATATCTGGTGAACCGATCATCAAAAACCTGAAATGTAAGTCGGAATCTGCGTTCGTCATTGAATAATGGTGGACAGCGCTTAGTCTCAAATGACCCAAGTTCCTTGTTATCATCACTTTCATCACCATGTCCTAGTGTGGATATCTTGATGAGTTTGCCGTTGTGGAATTTATACCAATGGATTATAGCACTTGGTGAACCCGATCCGCTACACACCAGGGAAACCATTAACCCTGCCCTTTTTTCTACATAACTGTCTCCAGTGCTGTTGACATGTATTTTCTCTCCAAGATCTTCCATGGTGGTGCCACAATGTTTCTCGCTATATACATCAATATCTGCCAAAGCACCAACTACAAATAATGAGATACGTGTTATTATCAATTTACATATTAATGTTTGTAAAAAGTCATCTAACAACATGACGCCTGTTATCAAAATAGACTGGCTGTATAAGTAATGAATATCTGACGGTGTGCATTCCTTGAAACTCATAGGGTTACGGTATCCTCTTCTACTCGACTTGAGCATTTCTTAGTTATATTGAAAGCACAAGTGAAGTAATTTAAGTCGTCTTGAGCAGGTTTCATGAGACAAAAACGGACTGAATACGCTCCTTTGAAGATTACAAAGGGCCAACACCATGCTTCAAAGCCACGGCTACGTACCGTTATGTGACCTCAAGTATCGTTTGATCTACATCGAAGGGTCAGCATAGTCTTATCTATTCACAAGTTTTCGCACACGCAGCCTTCGAGTTTTCCATGAATGTTCCAAGGGTGCAGAGAGAGAAAATAATCGTAGCCCGAGGAATATTCTTAAGTAAAATCGTAGATACTGGCGAACTGGAATTTTTATTGGACAATCGAGTGTTAAAAGATCATATATAATGGCTATCTTTATAGGGTATCACATTTAGCAAACATTGATATTATTATTAATTGTATACACAAAAAAAAAAAAAAAAATCATCAGAGGACAAAGACATTTGTGTTACATAAAGCTGATCTGATCTGAGTGCGGTTGACATATTTCCTTTGCTAAATGAGTTGAATTACGAGACTAAAAACGAATGACATACAATGTAGCAAATTATCTGATGACTTTTTAAAATTCCATATTACATAGGCAGGAGTATAAGAGTCTATTCATCTTATAATCGTTATATCTGACTGATATCGACGCGTTTTTTTTAATTGTAATCAGTTGTTTAATGCCAGCTCATGAATCGTTGACGAGTTGGGATTATGGTAAGAAATTAAAATGAGGTTGTCTCAACTGATGATAAAAAAGAAATCGACAAAGATAGATATAAGCGTTTATCTGCTTTGAGATGGTATTTATAGGCGTAGCAAAGGGCTACTAGATTAAGGCGAAGTCAATGTGAAGTGCCAAAGCGTTTAATTTTCGCTTTATCCAACTGGCATTCATATTGCTCTTGAGTGCTAACTGAAAGCAGTTGAGAGCATATATTGACAAGGTAATACAGAAAATCTTAGATTCTTCCGAGATGACCCCTTTTACAGTGCTTTAAAAAATATGCCATTACGATCCATACAAACCATGGATAATTTGACTTGATGAGAAATAGCGTTAAGCCAAATATGTTTTAATGTAAATTATGTCGAAATGTACATTTTCTCAATTGTCACTGATTTCCAATTCACACGATGCAAATGAAAATCCAATTTTACGATTGCTAACCCATGCAAAAATATCTACTGTTTAAATATTTTTCAGTGACTGGGTGCAGCCGTGTTTATGACAAGGGATCAAGTTAGTGTTGATTTCAATTTTACTTCACAAAGATTCAGTGAGATTAACTTGATTATAGCCTTAAATCAGAAATGATTAATTTTAAACAAACTGAAATTTATTTTCGTTTTTCTTCTCAGAAACTTTCATTTCTGATGTTCTGTATACAGCGTTTTTGTGTGAATGTCAAACAGACTTGTTATCATATTTTAAAATATTTCTTGATTTTTTAGAGCTATGATAGGTTTATACACAAACATTAACGAGGATTTGATATCAATCGTCATTGTGACTTATGCAAAACATTTATGCAGTTATAGGGTTTTTTCCATACTTAAAATACCTGCTACCAAAATGGATACACATCTTTAATTGATTCATATGCTTATAAGATATTTTGAGATTCGTCTTAAGTGTCTGATGATCTCGACATTTGTTTGCACGTCTTCTTATGACAGGGCTTGGTATCGAAATATCTATTGAAATTGTGGGAAATATTATTTAAATCTGACTCGATTAATCGTCTCATTTCATATCTCTTAGATTCATCTTTTGGATTTATTAGGACTAAATTCCATCCAATCAACGTACAAATGTCCTACACAACGATTCGTACGACAAACAATCATTACTATTTATATGTTTAGTGTCTTTTTACTTCTTGTTTTAGCCTTGTTATTTTGTGGAGTACTTTAAAGTGAAACACAATGCACTATGCTGTATATACTTTTCAATTGTTTATACTTTCGTTCTATTCTCATTACGGTCTTAACTTACAGTTCACCCTGATCTTGATATTCTGTATTGCGGAAGTCATAGAGAGTTTGTTGGTAGCGATGCAACGATAGGATGTACTACAATGTCGGGACACGTTTCGGATCTGAAGAAGTTTCCCTCTGATACCTGGATAAAACACCAATAGTTAATGTATGTTAGTCCTTGTATAAAAGGAAACAGAATGAGTTGAAATCGGTAGAAATTTCTGTTTTCAAGGATTATTCAAAACAAATATTTTTACCTGGCTTCTAAAGTAAATGTAATAAAAGTATTTGATGGGCTGTTTTCCTGAGAAATTGCTACAAGGAAAATTATCACAGTATGTAAACAGTCAAATCATTGAATAGAGTAAAACATCCGAACGCCTATATCTGATCGGAATTGCCTGTGTAAACAGAGGAGTGTTTCAATGACACTTTGCATGTCTAACAAACGTTTAGAAAAACAAGAGCATTGATGTCACAGTTTCAGTTGAATGACCTACATCTGATGATATTTGATACTTCAGGTAACACAATAGTTGCTCCATGCCTTTAATATAAGCTAACAGTCGCCACAGTTTTATGATGCAGGCCTTAAAATGTATTTCAATTTATAGAAGAAAAAATCCACTTGCGCTGAGATGCAATTAAATACGCAATTTCTTAAAAGGATTTTTTCTAGAAACAACAAGTGTTTTAGAGCATCTTAAAATTCAGATTTTATAAAGAACTGTGGTAATCATAATATCATTTGATAGCAAATGTCTATATTAGGACGATCCGCAATTATTTCCCTAAATAAAGAACTTACCTATATCATGGAATGAAACCTTTCCTTTTGAGTCAGTTTCTGATATTTCCCAAGAAATAGACGGTAAGGGAAATCCTGTAGCATTACACCACAACTTCACTGTATCGCCTTCTTGTATGACGGCATCTTTAGTGTAGGCTGCTTCGGGAATAACGGCCTTACCTTAAAATATATGTCTTACAAAAGTTAAATTTTAGTTTCGAAATTCAAATTATAATATACAAACGCGGCATTTATAATTCGTATTCCTTGAATCGAAGAAAAGTCTTTTTCTTTATGTGTAAAGAAGAAAAATCGTCCAACTTACTTTCTATTCTTAAATCATATGCTTTAAGGACCTCTTCTGGTTTTGCTGCAATACATTCATACGTGCCACTATCCTCTTTTTGTACTGTTATAATGAGGTCAAAACCACCATAGTCTTTGTCTATGCATCTCTTTGTGGTACCAAGTGGTGCTCTGGAGCGCTCGTGACAAAAATCGTTTATGATTTTTTCGGTCCTAGAAGTTACAATATTCCAGTACATTAACTGAAAAGTAAAAATGACATAGTGTTATTTTGATTTTACAATGTCGAGTACTTCAAATAGACAGAATATAAAACCACAGGAAATGAAAGAGCGATAAAAAACCAAACAACGACTCATTATCTATACACTGAATCTATACAAACAAGGAATATTACCAATGACATCCTTAATCAGAGGTCTAAATAGGCACCAAAGAAGACAAAACCATTGAATTATTACTTCATGAAAAAAGGAGAATTAGAATGGTATAAGCACTAATACAATAACACTAATTATGTTAAAGATCATAGCGACTGTACAACAAATACTTATTGACTTAATATGATCATCAAGAGAACATTGTACAAGGTTTACACGCCGAAATATTTGCTATTAAATTCTAACTATTTCTCCTAACCAATGCTGCCATTTTGTTTATAACACTAAACCATATGCGTGTTTGAAGGCGTCAGTATTGCAAAGCTATCAAACGGCTTGGAAGTTACTCCAAATAATTATCGGCTACTCTTTCTTTAAGTAGCAAGCTACTACCAGATTATTCGTATAGTTCCCTGTCTACTTTGGAGCAAACAGCCGATACATTTACGTAGCTACAACAATGTTTGTAGTTTTAAACAAAGAACTCGGTTATGGCTGAGGGCTCAAAGCTCTGCTGGAATACTTTGTATATTTTTTATATATATATTTTTTCCTCGAGTCTAATATCTTTCGATATGAAACTAAAGAATACCAAATAATTCACAAAGATCGTTTCCCAGCAGACAGGATTTTTCGCGTTTCACCAGGACCGATCTATCATGTGTTACCATATTCCTTGGGCAATATTAGAATAATTTCTCGGAAAGAGCTGCATTTTAGATACACTAATATGTAAATAGCTATGAATGGTTGGCTTGTAATGAAATTATAATAACAATACTGAAGTATGATAAGATGAATAATGATCAATTTGAACTTAAATTTTAACTCTTCATATCATCCCCTCATCATACCTCATTTTCGCTGCGTCTTGGACAAACAAACTTCACTTCTTGGTCAAGCTTGGCGCTCATAGGTATCACTGTATTTTTTAAACAATCAAATATCATTTACATTGTTAGGATAGGAGGAACCCAGTAATTAGTTTAAATGTCCCACTGAATATGTTTTTACATAATATTCGTAAACCATACCAAAGAACTTAAGAAAAATAATGTTAAATAATTACTTAGTGTGATAGGCAAATAATGTGTTTTTAATCCATAAAAAGATATTGGATTTGTCTGTTTTTGAAGGCCAAAGGAACAACATACATATTCAGGAAACCATCATGGTGCTTAAGCTTGAAATCTAAAATCATGAGAGAAGGTAAAAAGAGAGAAAAACTTAGATAATAAAAATAGCATTTTACTAGAAATTGAAATTATCAAATATCAGATTTACAACCAAAACTCTTTGAGAATGAGCACAATATGGATATGTGAGGAAGAAAGTGGTTCATGAATATAAGCCCTAATCAAACTGATGTAATGCCCCTACGCTCTGTACTTCCTGTCACACACATGTCAATTACTATATTGCCATGTTGAGGAAGTAAATGACAACTCACATATCAATAGCTCTACATACAATGGGCAGACACAATATATTGATATATAGAATACTCAGACGATAAACAACGACACACATTTTCCTGTTATAAATAATTCCATGCTCATTTCTCCTAAAACTTTCAATTTTCGTATATTTTTGTCTACGCACAGACGTCTTATTTAGTGAAACTCCGTCCGTCTGTCTTCAAAAACCGATCTGTTGTTCTCTCTATAGCATTTGCTAGTATCCTTAGGGAAAGGGGTAGGGTATTCTACATTTAGCATTGTCTCGTTTCATAGCTTAAAGTTTAAAAACAGAAGAAAACTATCCTTAAGACCTATACCACTTGCATATGAGATAACAACTAGTGAAGAATTATTGTTATTATTATCTTACCATCACTGTTGGTTATTGTTGCCTCAGTTCCCAATGCCAGTACAGTAACAATGACGTAAAACCTGAAAAAAATGAAATAAAATAAATAATTGAATATTAATAAACCATCATATGTATTCAAAACATCATTGATAATGCTTTTCGGACAGAAACTGTTTTATAAATATGTTAATTATATAGTATCTAAAACTGAAAATGCGAGAAATTTCTGATTTATAAAAAAATCATAATTTCATATTTGTCTTCCTTTTTTATCATTTCCGCATTCAACGATGCTATGATAACAGAGACAAAAATATGTCCTTGACACTTCAGAAACATGTAACTTGTATCTGGTACTCCCCATTGTGTACCGCCCCCTGACAGCATCGTAAAATGATATATATATAATACAGTCAATATCTATATCTTAGGTATTGAAATGACACTAAAACAGGTGTATATTATAGCAAAATCACATCTGATTTTTATAAAAGTGATGAATATATCTGTCGCCTCTTTTTCGTTTAGAAACACCAAATCATTTTCCTGTCAATCTGATTTTTATTCATTTCTGTTATTCTTTATCATTTCTGTTATTCTTTATCATTTCTGTTATTCTTAATCTGGTTAGGACTCGTTCCTGGTGTGATTTGATGCCAAAGAGAGTTCAGTTTCTTTACATATAATGTATTACATAATAGTTGATATTCACAGGGAATTGACTCGTATTTTTTAATAGGATTAATTTTTTATGTGAAAATTGGTCTCTGATCACTAGTCCTTGTATGTAGCTGGTTGTTAGAACAGGACATTCATCGCATGATTCATCAAACATTTACTACTTGCTCAAAACAGATAAGTACATTGCACTTGGCATACATACTTGTATGAGATGTCACAATGTGTTAAGTACATATCAAATATCCATGTTTTAAGCATCATAAAAACCTCTGAGGAACATATCTTTTTGGAAAGCTTATAGTTTATAAATGTACTTTTACGATATGCCCGTTACAAAATGTTTAAATATAATTTTCAAATGTTGTTCATTAAACGTAATTTGATGAAATCGAAGTGTTATAGGCAATATCATGTAATTACACTAAGATGTCTATCATACACTGTGTTTTGGTATCTGTTTGTATAGCACAATGTACGACTGTCACTATATATGTTTAATACATGCATCGTAGTGATAATATTGACATATATTTATATGTATTGTATACATATATCGGAACTCTAATGCATATTACTACAAAAGACCAGAATTTAGTAAAAACGTTAAAAGCATCGTCGGAATTTAATATAGATGAAATAACATAGACTTCTGTAACTAGATTATCACCATATCAATACATGTCAATATTATAGAACATACTAACCTTCTGAGCACATGGCCACGAAGTAAATAATAAATAAATTATCAAAACAAATAAATAAACATAATAGAATTATAAGTTCCAGTCTGTACAATAGGAACTGATCAAATCGAAATATAACAAATAATTTTCCCCCAAGTCTTTGATTTGTATTTTTTTCTTTGTGTGTGGTAAATCCCAATTAAAATAAAGATAAAAGCGAGGTCAGAGTCACAGCCACAGTCTATATACATTTACCAAAGATGATTTACCTTTCCAACATGTCTTTGTCTACCAAACGTCTTCTTCTTTATATAAACAAATCCTGAAAGTATTTTACATGTCGGGAACGTGGAAATAAGTCCGGGTCATTTGACCTGAAACATTCACAACAGCACACATTATTGCTAGACTTGTGTCAAACAAGGGCAGTGTGTTGTGTTACGGAAACGAAATACTGAAAGTGAAGGGCTTAAGGAAATGACGCTGACAGCAAGTACTTTGTTGTACATAATGTGTTACATTTATGATATACGAGCAAATGACGAAGAGGTTTTAATAGAAATAACTAGTTGGACTAAATATTTCTGGTCATTTTTTGACTTAATCAATGTAGCATTTATTTATTTTATCCATTTATTTGCGTTATCTCTTTTTCAACGGCTATATGTAGTATTTACTTTATTATCGTAATAGAATATGTTGATGGCTCTATAAATAGTCTACCCTTCATCGGAATCATGTGACATCTTGTCATTTGGAAATGAAATATTATCATTCCTTTTCTAGTCTGGTTTCTCATAAATATTTCCTCACACTTTGAATTCTTTTTTTTTTCAATGTTATACTGTTATTGGTAAATTGCAATCGGATAAATAGGATGAAACTAACGTATGATATAAAATACACTGTAGGTACAAGGAGTTCAAAACCAGGTGCTCCGGAAGTATGGGTGTCTTCTGCTTCGGCGACACCAGCCATGTAATGTTAATCACATTTCTAAATGAGATCAAGGTACATAACTTTGTAAATATGATTAAAACATATATTAACATACATAATTTTTAGACAGTGTTAATGGATGCAGTGCATTGCTTTCAGTCGGCATTTACAGACGATATGAATAACATCTGGCCAAAGACACTTTTTTATGAAGTGCGTCTAAATCGATAAGGTAATATAGCCTTCGTTATATTTGTATGTTATATAAGTGCTTTATTTAATGCAAAATGCCCACTTTTCTCACAGTAAAATAGTTGAGTATTATACAGCAAGGTAACAGTACGAGGGGAGGTAACCTTAACTTGTCTATATTACTGTTAACGTATTCGTAAGCTAATTGGCAGTTACAGTAATGTGCAATTGCATTTGGTCAGATCATAAATACAACTATACATTAAATATACCATGGCAACTTCTTAGATTGGTAAACAGATATGGTTTCGATAATGTGTTCAAATGATATCATATCGTTATGTTAGCATCCACCTCGAACTTTTACTGTCGATATCGTCCATGAACATTTTGATTAACATTTAAGTGGAGAACCGCATTTCATTCAGCGGCATCCTGGGATTTCAATACACGAATTCTTCTCCTACTTTATTAACAATAAACCTAATAACATGCAAAACTTAATCGTATGCGTGTCTGATCAAGTATCGAATTATATTTTTATTTCTTTCTGCCTCGCACAAACAGCTATCTATATTTTCAGTCATTGATATACGCATGCATGTTACATATTTAAGGCGAAAAGAACCAGTTCATAGACATTGAACGGTCGATTATACAACATAATCTGAAATTATGGAGGGTGTTTGATTGTTTATACCTAAGAAACGAAGACATGTCACTCCTTTTTAACCTTTCAATCACGTGACACATATACTTGTCCTTCGTGAACGCGACACTTAAAGTGGAAATACTTTTGTTTGTTGTTTAAAGTTTTTTTTTCATATGTAGGAGGCCAGGATATACGTAGACATCAACGATAAGTCAATCTCTAATTTGCCATGGAAACGCAAGTAAAAAGAGATAAAAATCATCACAGCCCTGTGTGTGCTACAAATGCATGACCTACGGCACCAAATAGTCTTGTGAAGAAGTACTTTTAAAGTTTTATTGTTTTTTTTTTATCATACTAAAAAAGTCCGTATAATATGATATGGATACTATATAGTTCGTCTACAAGGGTCACTGCGGGTCCTGGTTCGTCTTTGTATACGTAGTACATACTACAAAACAAAACTTGATGTACAGATTAATAAATACAACAAACATTAATCTAATTTTAGACTTTAACTTCGTATGGTATAAAATAATATATCTTGATTTTGGAAGTCTCATACTTCGCCACAAGCAAAGTTAATTTTTCCATGACGGACTTGATTCAAACTTGTAGAATTGTATCGTTATTAGTATAGAATGGAATTCTGATGGTATACACATTGTTAAAGCCTAAAATAAGCGTGAAATTGATTCCGATGTCATCCCATCATCAATCATCTTTTCAAGATGCTTAAGCGAAAATCAAGTATTTCTCAAACATGTAAGGACATATAGGTGCTTACATAGAATTGTAAATTGACCGACCCTCAAGATTCATATCAAGCCTTTTGGAGAAGGTAACATTTATTATAAGTTATACAGAAAACTCACTTTTTTGCACAAATTGGTGAATCTCAACTTGACGTAATTCACGAATGTTTATAATTATCAGCATAGGATGGCGAATCTTATTGTTACACTGATCACATTTTAAATTTACGTTACGGGTAAGCTGCAGTTCATGCTAACTGACTGTGTTCTCATTTGAGAACGTGACATTACATACTTGGATTGACCAAGGTTTACACGGCAGGTATCGTCGATAAAGCAGAAGACGTTTACTCTTCCGGAACACTTGGTCTTATCATCCTTTTACTTTTTCTTTCTTTTATCCATAATTTTATCCGCAATGTTATGGAATTTGAGTTCGAATTATGCTTATATTGCCATGTTGGTATTTTCTTGATGTTATTTTGTTGAAAAAGATATTCCCCTCCCATTGCAATTTTTGTCAACTACTTTACAGAAAGAGCGATCGCTGCTATTAACCTATAAAGTCAATGTTTTTATTTATGTTACCTAAATGTTACTACAAAATGTATCAATTTCTGTTTCACATTATCCAAAAGTTTCTAACCTGTTTTTGAAATAGTCATGTCTCTGTCTACAGATAACGGATTGCCACTTATCTTAGTCTGTGATAACTTAATTTTTGTCTCAGATTATCCCATGTCACTGATATAAGTCTTTGAGAGTCATGCTAATATCTCCGATTAACCCTAACGATATTGACAATTGACAAGTGATACCTACATTATTGTCTCAGAGTACTATTTAGTGATTGGCCTTAGCCTGTGATACCTCTATCTCTGTCTCAGAGTACTTCCGAGTCAATGACTGTAGTCTGGGATACCTATATCTCTGTCTCAGAGTACTCCCGAGTCACTGACTGTAGATTGTGATACCTATATCTCTGTCTCAGAGTACTCCCGAGTCACTGACTGTAGATTGTGATACCTATATCTCTGTCTCAGAGTACTCCCGAGTCACTGGTCTTAGCCTGTGATACCTATATCTCTGTCTCAAAGTACTCCCGAGTCACTGACTGTAGTCTGTGATACCTATATCTCTGTCTCAAAGTAATCCCGAGTCACTGGTCTTAGTCTGTGATACCTATATCTCTGTCTCAAAGTACTCCCGAGTCACTGACTGTAGATTGTGATACCTATATCTCTGTCTCAGAGTACTCCCGAGTCACTGACTGTAGATTGTGATACCTATATCTCTGTCTCAGAGTACTCCCGAGTCACTGACTGTAGTCTGTGATACCTATATCTCTGTCTCAGAGTACTCCCGAGTCACTGGTCTTAGCCTGTGATACCTATATCTCTGTCTCAAAGTACTCCCGAGTCACTGGTCTTAGCCTGTGATACCTATATCTCTGTCTCAGAGTACTCCCGAGTCACTGACTGTAGTCTGTGATACCTATATCTCTGTCTTAGAGTACTCCCGAGTTACTGGTCTTAGTCTGTGATATCTATATCTCTGTCTCAGAGTACTCCCGAGTTACTGGTCTTAGTCTGTGATACCTATATCTCTGTCTCAGAGTAGACTACTCCCGAGTTACTGGTCTTAGTCTGTGATACCTATATCTCTGTTTCAGAGTACTCCTTAGTCACTGGTCTTAGTCTGTGATACTTATATCTCTGTCTCAGAGTACTCCCGAGTCACTGGCCTTAGTCTTTGATACCTATATCTCTGTCTCAGAGTACTCCCGAGTCACTGACTGTAGTCTGTGATGCCTATATCTCTGTCTCAGAGTACTCCCGAGTCACTGGCCGTAGTCTGTGATACCTATATCTCTGTCTCAGAGTACTCCCGAGTCACTGACTGTAGTCTGTGATACCTATATCTCTGTCTCAGAGTACTCCCGAGTCACTGACTGTAGTCTGTGATACCTATATCTCTGTCTCAGAGTACTCCCGAGTCACTGGTCTTAGCCTGTGATACCTATATCTCTGTCTCAGAGTACTCCCGAGTCACTGGCTGTAGTCTGTGATGCCTATATCTCTGTCTCAGAGTACTCCCGAGTCACTGGCTGTAGTCTGTGATGCCTATCTCTGTTATCAATATAGCTGTCCTTAAATTACCGAAAAAAAGTCTGATGTTAGTATTTGAAAGTCATGTCTCTGCTCATAAATGACACTAAAGTTATTTGCTCTCGCCTAAAATAGCCACGTCTCTCAGATAGCCCCCAAATCATTTATATTGACTTGTGATATTCAGGTCTCTGTCTCACAGTACCACAAAATAACTTGTATATATTGTTCATACGGTTAGTGTCACGCGTTTAAATAAATGGGTGTACATGTTACTAAATGTTTAAAAGGGCATTTACTATACATTAACAATTACTAGAATGGGAATTGGTTTATTGGCTTGGGGTCGAAGAGTGTATCGTTCTGTACCTTTAAGTAATTTAGTTCATCTGGACTTTGTAAACGTGTCCATTACTGATGTCTTGTTCTCGATATGTGCTATCCGATCTCAGTGTGCTTTGATCATAATGCATTAATTGGATGTACAATACCCTTCCGCATGTCATAATGCATGAAGAGGGTACATGTAATTGATTATATTACTATTATTTCTGTGTCTGAAATATACCATTGCTGCACACAAATAGAGCTTCTAACCTACCATTCAGCTGACCATAGCAGTGATAAATGTCCTGATGGCGGAGTCAAACAACAATTACGGAACTTTAAAAAGGTCAGAAGGATAACTCGAATTTTTAAATGACCTGTTCAATTACGATTAAATATAGGACT